TATATATATATATATGTGTATATATATGTATATATATATTATGTGTATATATATATATATATATGTAATATATATTATATATATATGTGTATATATATATATATATATATGTATATATATATATATATATAATATATATTGTATGTATAATATATATATGTATATATATGTATATGTATATATGTATATATGTATATATATTATATATTATATATATATATAATATATATAATATATAATATATATATGTATGTATATATAGTACTATTATATATATATATATATATATATATATGTATGTATATATATATATATATATATATATATATATATATATATATATATATATATATATATATATATATATATATATTTTTTTTTACTTATACCTGATGATTTTGCTTATCTTCTATTCGCTAACTAAAGATGCATACTGCCTTTGCTTTTTTGTCCTTACTTTATTGTAAATAATGTTCTTGTATGTACTTACAATATATTTTATTTTGGATACCTCTTGTTATATATATATATATATATATATATATATATATATATTTATTTATTTATTTATTTAATTTATATATATTAATTTTCTTTCTGTTTTTTTTTTTTTTTTTTTTTTTTTTTTTTTTTTTTTTTTTTTTTTCTTCCTGTTCTGTTTTTGTTTTGTTTTGCCTACTTGATGATGACTTTAAACCAAATAAAAAAATATTTTACTTAAATGTGTTTTCTATATCCTTGATTTTATAACACAACAAAAGTGAATGAAGAACATGAAGAATTTATTAATGCCAAATGATTTTAGAGTTTGCTTGAATTCAAGTTTGTATTCATTGTAGTGACACCAAAGATATTTTCTGAGTAGTTTTATGATGCCATGTAAATATCGCACTCATCATAATTATTAGATAAATATGTCATATTCTAACAAATCAGTGCAAAACCTTATTTTAATGTATATAAAGGATTGTAATAAAAACAACACTTGAATAATTATATGGTCCCATGCAAATTTATATATATGAAATTATTTATTAAGATTATATTTCTAGCCTCTTATTCAAAACAAACAATGCGAAACTAAAAGCGTTTTAAGCAGGGGAGCGCTTGGCAAGAATTCTTGCCAAGCGCTGTACCGTTCTCTGCTTAAAACGCTTTCCAACGCAGGCAGGCCCTCTTCAGTGATGCCAGACATGTGGAAATGTCTTTTTATAAAGCACAAATCATAACAGTCCTTGATAAGCATAGAAATATCAAAATAACACACGAAATATACATACTTGGGTTTTAAAAGCAATATTCCCACCAACAATCTCGGAAAGAGATAACTTATGCACAAGATCATTTATGCACAAGTCGAGGGTGGAGTTTATTTCACCTGCGGTTGGTAACAGTTTGAGCGCGCAATTCAAAACAACTGACAATTTAGCGCCGCATTAAGATGACAGAGAAGTAAATAAATCTACCCAAACATCTTAACAAAGCTCTATATTTTCTCCTATATTCATATAAAGTGCCTCTAAAACAAAGACACACTTCCAATTGACTGCCCTTTCATTCTGACGCGTTATCAAAACAAATGAATATCCATGAATTAAAATATAGGCCTACCCATTCCCATATATCCGATTTTATGAGGTTAAATATAACAAATCATCGAATATGATATCAACAGAAGAATGTTGCTAGAATTTCTCAGACTTTTTCACTTGAAATATTTTTTATTTCATAAAATAGCAGATATATTCTCGATTTAGAAAGACGAGAAAGGAAAATAACAGGAACATTGTTAGTCTTATAATCATTTATTATTCCTAAGTAAAACTTTTTATTCCCATAATCTCCATTATCTCATTAATCTCATATATCATTATCTTTCGTTTTCAGTTAATTTCAATTTCTTTGAATATGATTTTAAGAAAATTACAGAATCAGATACCGTGAAAAAATTATTTATCTGATAAGATTTAATATCTTATCAGATAAATAATTTTTGGCCAACGTTCCTGGCCAACGCCCGCATTCGAAGGATCGTGACCAGTACGGTACGCGACCGACGCCGTTGCCTTGGTGACGGTACACGGCTTGACTTACGAAGCGCAAGTCAAGCCATCTACGGAGGTCGCTTGAGAAAGCAAGCGAAGTGCTTGAGTGAGCAAGAAAAACGCTTGAGATTTCAGGCAAGAACTTTCCCTGCTTAAAACGCTTATAAGAAAAAATCTATATAAATTTATAGTCCACCCCCCTAAGAGTGTTTTCCTTACATAGTTACATATCTGAACAATAGATGGCGCTGTAAGGAGTGTTGGGCCGCACATTTTATGGAACGGTGTGTGATCCGTGGTTTCCTGTCTTTCGTCTTAGTTGACAGAGAGGAGGGGGGGGGGATATGACCGACATTTCCTCTAAAAGGCGGATTCCCGTCTCACATTTCGGAGAAGGGCCGAGCTGCGAGCGGCGTGTATATAAAGCTTCCCGGCCGGGTTCACAGACTCAGACCTCTTACCGACGCCAATGTAAGTGTCATCAACTTTATCTTTGTTCTCGATGTTCTAATTGAAGAGTATTGGAGATACTTAGTAGTTATTACCAAACATTCCCTATAGCATATAAGTGTATACGTCAAGATTGTAAATGTTCTAAGAGATGTCCCGGTAGAACATTAAACTTTTTTAATGACCAGCACTGCATTGTTGATGGAGTAGAATTAGATAGTAGGGAATTAATTGAATTTGAATGTGACTCGACGAAAACCGAAAATAAACAGGTCAGAATTAAATGAAGGTCAAAAGTAAGACACCTTGACATGGCAGTTTTGAAGGTCATGCAGGTGTCTCAAAGACAGATGGGATGAATAGGCAAGTTTCGAGTTTAATTTCTTTATCATGTGGACAAGCCAACAATACATTCAAATTGGTTGAATATGCATCACCATAACAATACTTGTTGCAGTATTAGGTTAGATTTGTTTCTTTTTGACTGTCACTTACAATACATTAGAAAATTAAGGAAAATGCTCTTTTATGCTTGTATCATTTAATTGTTCCACTTAGATATACAATTATTTTAGTTTAATGGGAGTTGAAAGATTATAGTGAACTGCATAGCCAAAAGATTTATTTTGCATAATCCATGTCGGGTACATTAAGATTGGGGTATGTTCCATATGTGTTTAAGGTTATATATGCCGTTTTATTAATTTTTCGGAAAATTGTGTATAACAATCAGGAATTGAGTATAAACAAGATATGGAGGAATAATCTCAATATTTTAAAATTCGCCATTCGATATCAGTAGATGTAAACAAATGTGCGCAAAACGATCGGCTTTTCTTACACGATGGCCACCAGGGGGCAAATGTGTGGCGCGGGAGTTTTAAACCGTCATGAAATGATGGCCAACAGGGGGAAGAAGGGTCGCGCGGGAGTTTTAACACAATATAAGGTATCGCCACATGCGCCTGACACATTCTTCTTATATGCTCGGTCACAACGATGGAGTTCCTTTTAAACAATCACATGTTATCATGTGCGTAATAGGTAAGTTTTACCACTGTCCTTATAAGTAAACTATTACCATTCATGGTTAAAGTCAATGTAAGTAATATTCCGCCACGTGTTATAATAATTTTGCATATTTATTTGTTGACGCGCAATGTAATGCTCGTTTCAGCATATTGTGCATGTCATGGGAAAGTTGATTATCGACCAATATCCGTAACACAGACTAGTCTTAACAGAAAATGGAAGCCATAGTAAACAGTCAACCGGATATTTGCATGTTCGTGAGAGCTGTCATATGGCTTGTTAATTAACAATGTGTGATGTATATTTTGGGTCAGTTGAAAGAGGGAGTGAGGGAGCGAGAGGGAGAAAGATTAGTCGTTGCGTGACTAACGCGCACCGATACTTCTGGCTTCACCAGCTAGAGATGACGTTAACGAACGTCAGGTCTTAATGATTGCATGTGCAGACCAGAACCCGTATACTAAATTTAATAAATATACATAATGTGTAATACATCACACATTATTGGCGCTAAGAGACTCTGAAAGAGTAAAATAAACTCACGGTACAATATCACCGGTTTCTCCCCGCTGATGCACAAATAGCACAGTCGCTCCTCATTGTATGTATTTTCTATAGTGGCATGTACTTGGCCTATTTCTTACCCCCCCCTACTTGTGTAACAGTTACAAGTGGCAAGACCTTACTTATTGGACATTGAATTACTTATATTACTTGGCGGGCAAGTGTACATCGAAAAAAAACAGTGCAAAATGGAGAGGAAGTGCGATAATTGTGCATGGAACTATTTAGACTTCATTAAACAGTTTCATAATGAAGACGATAAGTGTTTTAAAATTTTAAGAGCACGGGTATTACCCACCGGTGTAGTGTCCATATTGTGAATTACCGTGCAAACACAGAAAAGAGCAGCATTTGTGGTATTGCGGCCGGTGGAAGAAGATAGTTAAACTAAGCGCCGCAGAAGCTGCGCCTATTCGATCAGCGATTACGGCGGCACCTTCCTTCAAGGCACACATCTATCACCATCAAAGCTTTTAATTTTTGTCAACCACTGGTTGCAAAAATTCTGTAATCATAAAATCATAACGTGCCTTAATTTTTCAATTGCCACAAGTGTGGATTGGAGGAGCTTTTGCTCGGAGGTGACAGAGAATTGGCTTAAAAATCAGAAGCCAATAGGAGGTGCCGGCGTAATCGTCGAAATAGACGCAACATTACGTGTGTGCCGCAAATACAATAGAGGAAGATTACTTAAACAAGTGTGGGTATTTGGGAGGACTGAACGAGAATCCCCCCAAAAGTTCATAGTGCCACTTACAAACAACGATGATAAAGAGTGCAGAAACGCTCGTCCCCTTGATCAAAAAATACATAATACAAGGTAGCACAATAATTAGTGACGGCTGGGCAGCCTATCGTCATTTAAAAGAACACAGATATATCCACAAAGGGATAAACCACTCAGAACAGGATCCAAAAGACTCGAGTGTCCATACACAAACGATAGAAAGACTGGAGGGACCAAGAGTCCTGGCATGCGAGCTGACTATCTCCATCAGTATTTTTCTCGCTACCTATTAATTCGTGAATACAAGGAAAATGCCCTCCACATTTTTTTTTTCTTGAAGCTGCCCGGCTGTATCCGCCCCAGAGTGAAAAGAGGAGGGAGTTAACCCCCGCCCAAGACCCGTTTAATGAGGCGGACACCTCTTGACTCGAGCGACTCAGAGTAAGGTAGGAATTGGCGAAACATATGTATTCGCGGAATTTAATATTTGTATTCAGGTGCGATATTCCTATGATATCAATAGTATAAGTATGTTACTGTGTGTGGGTGTGGGTGTGATAAAAACCCTGTATTTACAATAATCATAATATAACCCTAAATTCCTTGAATTAATGAGCGCAGGATATGGGTAAGTAATGTGTACCGTAACGTCTAGTTGAATAATAGTTTAGCCCTTGGTATATCGTATATAACTTATCGAAAATGACTCGTATCTTAAATGCATGAAATGACAACAAACGGTAACTGATGCTTAACAAGTTTATCACCAAACTGCCGAATTGGCAATTACAAGAAGACGGCAAAAATCTAACTTCTAGCCAATCACAGTTCAGAAAATGACGTCATGTTTCTCTGACTAATCATAACTCGTATACTGTGGGTACCTTTGCCTTACACCAAGAAAGCTTCAGTCTGTAACTTGCCGATTTTCAAGATGGTTAAGGTCTATGCCGTTGAAAGATCCATTGTACGAAGCCGGTTGATATGGACCAGCAATTTTTTCTTTAAAACAAGAGGTAAGTACATTTCAAATAACAACGCGTCGTGTTAAGCAAAATACCCAGGCAAAAATAATGTATCGTAATTGTCATAGTTGTGTATCACGAACCGGCTAAACGATATTTTGTCGCACTAGGGGACGAGTTCAAAGGAAGTGGTTAGAGGACATGTATCATGATAGTATTAGCCATATTTAGGCCGTTTTCGGATCACGTCCACAGCGGACGGCAAAAAATGCGTAAAAAACGGTAAATATTAAGTCTCCGTTATGTTAAATTGCGCGTATAATGGCGTGCGGTGCCTGATCTGACAGCTGTTTTTATTTTGACTTCTATTTATTTTTTCTATCGTAATAAATTTCCGAACACGACTTTCAAGGCTTTTGAGAATTCTATATATATATCACAGAAAGGTTTGAAAATGTGACCAATTTGCGCACGAGGCGTCCGCACGTCTTGTCATTTAGTGTGTGCGGGGAGGCGTGCGCGTGCGATCGCTCATCTCGTATTACGAAAACAGACGATCGTCTTCGAGCGTCGCGCAGCGCCGCATATTTGGCATTTACCGATAAATATGAGGCCGCTGCAGCTTAAACTATGTTGTATCCCATTATATTTTTCCGGCTCTCTAAGCGGTGTCCATTGACCTCTATCAACGCGTGTCGCTGTAAATTGTAACCAGGGTTAATTTGAAGATTTTTACTTTCATAACGTAAATATTTTCGGCAAGTTGTAATAATTGTAATTGTGATAATGAAACGGCTCTCCATTTTGTTAAATGTTGGTTAATTTAGAATTTTAAACGCAAAGATAAGACAAAATATGATTGTTACCCCAGAGAATTGAGTTTTCTGTAAATATTTTGCGAATCGTTGGAAGGAGCAAGACCAACACTTTTGGGAACATTAGTGCTTGTTTGTTTAGATTTAATGAAGCTCAATAGAGATGTACATTATTAATTTGAAGAAGAAACGCGTGAACGACAAATGGCACGAGCTTTTATGTTGCGTCGCTTACAGTTTGGTAAGTACATAGTTATTTTTCAAATATTAACGCATTTATTGGATTATGGGCGACTTAATTTTTAAACAGATAACGAAATAATTTTACTATAAGCGTGAAGCATGGATCTCACCCCGTAGAGTTTAACACGAAGCTTTGCTAACATTTCTTCCGATATACATTAACGTTAGTTTTTGTTGTTAATCTCCCACATTCTTTCGTCGTACATATTATGAAATCTAAGCTCAATTTCTTAAGCAATTTTCAGCAGTTTGTTCCGAAACACAAACTTCATTTATTTCCTGAATCGGCCATATGCGATGGAAAACGACTACGGATTCACAAATACTACAACGTTAATCATCGGATTCAAAGAAAATATTTGCGAGGTGGGAGGGCTGAGTGAGACTGAAAAATTACCGTTCTTAAGACTAAACAGTGGAAACAAAGAAGAAAGATCTTAACTATCGCAGTTTGATTTCTGGGGCCATGAAGTACCCCAAATCCCCCCCCCCCAAAAAAAAAAAAAAAAAAAAAAAAGTGATAGAAACGAAGGGATCACATCCACAATAGACCGACCGACTGATCGAAAGAAGCGAAGGAAAAATGACAGTTCGGTCTTTCGATATATAAAGGTATTTGGTTTATTGTTAGTATGGATGTAGCTCTATCTTGCCGTATATACCGAGGTGAAGCGAATGCATCCCGGGGGGTGTTGGGGGGCTTGTCCCCCATCAACCCTCCCCTCGGGCAGTGCCTAGTCACGGCACCGTAAATTGTTAGGTTATGTTGGTTTAAGGGGTCAGGGCGTTTGGGGGGTTTGGAAGTTTTTTTTTTTTTTTTTTTAACTGGTGCGTCAGTGCGTAGACTTTCAAAGGTGGCGGACATGTCCGTAGAATTTCATTAGCCGTTTTTAAGCGTTTTTTGAGCTAGTTTTACAAGTTTCTGTTCACTATTTTTATTTAAGCCTGTTTTACCCCATAATTTCCCAGATATACTAAATGCCCTTCCCTGCTAATGGGACTTAAAACATCAAGATTGTTGGCTGTGATTGCTACGGAAATAATGATCAGATTCATTCTTGTCACACGAGAATAAATCTGATGATTTAAATACTGTCTGGGAAGTCCCGATTGTCATAATTAAAAAAAAAAAAAAAAAAAAAAAAAAAAAAAAAAAATTAACCAATGTTTCTTCCTTTTCCAGTTTGCTCAGGAATATTTAATCATGGCTGAGGAACCAAAAGGCTTGACGAATGAGGAGGCTGCTGCATGCTGCGCAGAGCCACATGAATCCACAAAGGTATTTATTAACTTTATGATTGTAATTTTCGGTATCAGTTAGTTTGAGATCATCTTTGTTAGTGTATATATAGTGATTGGGGGGGGGGGGGAGGAAAAGGAAACATTTCTAGAAGGGAGGTTGCAAATTTAAGTTTAAAACCATTTTCTTCCTTGTTTCAGGATTTCATTATGCAGCAAACAATGTTTCGAATTAAAGACCCAAAGCAATCATTAGACTTCTACAGCCGCATCATGGGAATGCGCTTGTTGAAAAAATTAGATTTTCCCTCTATGAAGTTCTCGCTTTACTTTGTTGGTTATGAACCTGCGGAAGATATACCTTCTGACGAAACAGAACGCACTTCGTGGTGCTTCTCAAGAAAGGCTACAGTAGAGCTTACACAGTAAGTTTTGTATGAAAAAATGGCATCTTTTACTTCAATGTACAAGTAAGAATTTGGATGACGTGTCTCCTCAAAGAAAATTATAGTTTATTTTGTGTTTCTTTCTAGCAACTGGGGAACAGAATCTGATCCAAACTTCACAGGATATCACAATGGAAATTCTGAGCCAAAAGGCTTTGGTAAGTGATAATTTATTAAAAGGAATTACATAGAATGAATTTTATTCCTCTAAATAGTGCATAAATTTTTCATAGTCCAATGATGTAAAATAATTAAACGTTTAAAGGTATGATATTAAAGCTGAAGTACTTGAAAGGGAGAGGATTTATATAATAATGCTTAATGTTTTAGTTAGTTTGCATAATTATTTGGAAAATTTATTTTGTATACAAATTCCTCCAGGCCACATTGGAGTTATGGTTCCTGATGTAGATAAGGCATGTGAAAGATTCGAGTCCCTTGGGGTCAAGTTTGTGAAAAAGCCAAATGATGGTAAGTTTTCCTCATTCTTTAATTAGTGTTGCTTGAGAACGATATTTTGAGAAACTTTATATTAAGACTATTACTATTACTAATATATATCTTTTTTGATTAAATAGGAAAGATGAAAGGACTTGCATTCATTCAAGACCCAGATGGATACTGGATTGAAATTTTCAATTCTGGAACCATTGCAACATTGGTATAATTCCTTAAAAACGGGTTTATGTAAGGTTTTGGCTTCCAAATTTACTTATATTGTTTTATTTATGTAATGTTTATCTTATGCTTCAATAACCATTGATATTTTATGTAATGGGTGATGTGTCCATAAAATTGGGCACCCCACCCCCCCAATCTAAATGACCTTAAATACATGTTTACTACTGCCAAAAGTTGTCTTTATACCTTGAGTCTTTATATAATGTAATAGTGCTGACTGAAAGTCTAAATATTTCTGAATAAGATACATGTTGGCTGAACTGCATATTTTGAGCTGGAACTCCATCTTAGACTTAAAAAAATGATTTCTAAGTATGTTTAAGTAAACTTCTTTAAAAAAATGCACTTGCTCTTCAGTATTAGTCAGTAGCCTTGTATTAAATATGCTACATGACAAAATCTGCTATCCCCATGCACCCAATGAATTTACATTATATGCTTAAAAGTGTACAATAAAAATGATGCAAAAGATTATTACTATTATCAATATGATAGTATAAACAATAGTAATATTGATTAATAATAATGATTAATAATATCAATATAGGGTAACATTGTTAAATCAGACTTGAAATACTAAAATGCCCTAAAAACTAAAGCCTTTTCGCATGTTATGAACATGCTCTTTGGCTCATTCCTCTTTCACAAGTATGTTACTGACTTTCATTGTCTATTATTGGTTTTGTCTTTAGACTGTGATCCTATCCTGCATTATTTGATATTTTACTCTTTTTTTTTTTTTTTCTTAAATATAAAAGTAATATTTAGTTTCATATGACAATGGCTATACAGCTATGTTGTTATACTTGGAAATGTCATACATTTTTATGGTGGATTGCTTGTTTCTCATCTTTGATGATATATCATCAAATCCAATTAATATTGCCACTATAGAGTTAGAAGAGAACATGAAATTATATTATAATTTGAAACCTATTATAGACATATTAAATTCTAGTATTCTTTTCAATCTTTTTTTTTTTATGCAGAATAATCAAGGTTTTGTTAATCACATGTTTGTTCCTCTGGCAGTAAATTTAAAATTAATAACTTATTTTAAACATTTTGATATTTTAAAAAAAGGAAAAAATCCAAAATTGTACAAAAACCAGAGCATATTGGAAGCTGTATTCTTTTGGCGACTTTCACATCAGTTAATGAGTTATATTTGAACTTATACTAGTATTATGGTTTAAATTCAAATTTAATCCAATGTATTGCATACACAGAAGCAAAAATATTGGGATAAAGGCTAAGGATGGAGTACTGGTAATGTCCTTGTATAGTTTCTTTCCAGATATTTTGTTGATTTTAACATCATATTTTACACAATTAAACTGAATATTACAATTGTTTTTGTAATATCTATTGTAAAAAGTAATTATATTTATTATGCTTTTTATAAGGTATGACTAAAGGTGACTAAAGGCATGTACACATAGGTGGGCTACAGTAAAGGTGAGGTCACAGGTGAGAAAACAAGGAAACTACTTATTTACCAAGTTTGTCTACCTGTGACATCTTTATTCGTTCCTCCCTGGGTGGACAGGCCTTGATTAAATGTGCTATATGTGAAAAGCTGTACATCAGTATAGAATAGTGAGGTAATAAAATGGGTAGAGAGGAGTGAGGATAGAAATGAAGTGTAAATGGGCTCAGGCAGGGATTGGCAAAAAAGTCGAGGGTAATTATGGAGAAAATGTATGCACCTGAGGAAGGGGAAAAAAAATATCAAAAGAAAGTGAGATTCTACAAGGATGTAAACAGGAATAAGCAAAATGGGAAATGGAGGGAGTTAAAGGTGATTACCCCCCCAACCCCATGCCCATTGATGATGTGATAAGGCCAAGGAGACAGGGTTGGGGCCTAATGTAGGGGATCACCCCTGCCTTGGGCCTCAGCCCTTGCCTCAACTAATTTGCATGGTCATTTCTTCTTTCTTTTTCTTTCTTTCATCCCCCTTCTATCTACATGCTTAAGTGTGAGAGCCATGCTGAAAGGACGAGACTTTGTAAGTCCTGAACAGCCTTCATACTTCATTTGCTATTACCTCTATCCTTTTCACTACCATACTAACCAACAGCATTCTACAACCTTTGTCTTTGAACATATTCTGTTCTACTAATTTTTTACATTTTTGCAACAATACTTTATCATACTGCTATATGACCTTTCATTATCTTGCCAAGCCGTGTCCAATTGCTTTATTTTGTTTGCGCCAACAATGATGTTGACACATCAGAAAAGTTATTATGAATGGGTATTGGAGGAGGAGGATGGATGTCAGCAATCACTTTGAGTGTACAGGAGCAGAGAAATTAAATGGTGAATGATTATTCTTTTTCTTTCCTTCTTTTGGAGAGGTGGTGAGGTCATGATTAGACAATGTTGTCTTCAAGAGCTCCTGAAAGAGAGTTGAGGTGGTCTCAAGATGGGGTAGAACATTTAGATTGTCTGATGCTACAATGGAATGAGGAAGGATAGGAATCTTGGAATTGGTAATGATTGGAGTGTCTGCATTTAGAATAGCAAAAGAATTTAAGTAGGAGGAACAGATACTAGGGATTATGTAGAAACATCTTGGGAGGAAGGGGCAAGGGCAGAGGAAAGAACAGAGGGGAGTAGGGAGCAAGAGAAAAACCTTGTCATGCTTCAAGTCTGGCCTCATGTTATGCGAGGCTGTTTTCATCTGAGAATTTACACCTCAGACTCAAACTTGTTGGGAGGACAAGCCCCTATAAATTACATTATGGGAGCCACCACAAATGTCATATTTGTGACTGCAAAGGTAAGTTTGACAATGCTGGGCAAATGGAGGGAAGGCTCTATGGAAAATGGTTAAAAAGCAAAATAAATGTGCTAGACATGCAAGGTCATATAGCACTATAGGAAAGTATAATAAAGGGGTGAAAGATTGATAGTTGCTATGCATCAACTATCTAGAGTGATCTTGAAAGGTTAAATATGGGTAAAGAACTTGCTGTGTGAATGGGCTACAGTAGGTTTATGTAAGGGAATTGCATGTGTGTTTCACATGTGTATCCAGAGGGTAGTGGAAATAATAATAAAGGGGATGGATGGAGGGAGAATGTACATGTAGTTGGAATTGAGTGGGCTGGGTTGTGTTGGAAGGGAATAGGAGGAAGTGGTGTAGGGGGAATAGGAGTAGGAGGATGGATATCGGTATTAGACGGAGTTGAGGGAGATAGGTTGTGCTGGCAGGGAGTAGGAGGAATATGAGTAAGAGGTGGATTGATAGATAGTATCAGGAGGTTGGATATTGGTAGTAGGCAGAATTGAGGGGGTTATGTTGTGTTGAGAGGGAGTAGGAGGGAGGGGTGTAGGGAGAATATGAGCACAAGGAAGATGGATATCGGCATTCACTTTGAGTATGGAGGGAGCATGAGTTGTGGAATTTTGTGTCTCAAGCTTTGGATGTCTTCCATAGTTTCTGCAGTGGAGTTGGTTGAAGAGTTTTATGAGACAAAGGTTTTCTTATGAGGGGGAAGAGGAGACTGGTGTCAGAGGAATAAAGGCAAAGATAGGTGGAAGTGAGTGTGCTGTAGGGGAAGAAAGGGGGGAACGTTTAGTCTGCTGCGGGTAGTGCAGGGAGGGAGAGGGGACAGTGTTGAGACTGGAGCTGTAGTGGAGATTGGAGTGTCTGGGTTTTGAGTGGTAAAGGAATTTGACAGGGGGAGGTAGAATGTAGAAGTGGAAATGGGGAAGTAGGTTGGCATAGGGGAGGGTGTAGGAACATCTTGGGGTGGAGGGGGAGGGTCAGAGCAAGCGACATTATTAGAGTAGGTAGTACGAGAGATACCTTGTTGGCGTGCTTCCTGTCTGGCTTCACAGAGTGAGGCAATTTTTACCATTTTTGTATCTGAATGTTGCTACCTCAGACTCACACATCCACCTAATGCACACCTATCTAATGTCACGCTCAGACCTGCCTCTATGTCCCCTATATAATATCCCTCTTTTAGTTCTACACATTCTGTTGTCCTGCCCACACTTTACTACAGCCTGCACCTCTGCTTTCCCCCACTTGATCTCCCTTCATTGACCTCCCAACATATCAGACATCCTTACAAAATCCCACAGCTTCTGCCTTGACAACCGGTTGTTCTTCCTCAGATGCATAAATATCCTTCACTTGATCTAATTCCCTTACCTAAACCACCATAACCCATTCCTTCATCAACTCCCTTACCCATCTTCAACCTTTCAATATTACTCTAGATAGTTGAAGCATAGCAACTATCACCTGCCATCACCCTTTACTATACCTTCCTATAGTGCTATATGACGAGATGTCTAGCACATTTATATTGCTTTTAACCATTAACCATTACCTCAGACTCACACTTGTAAGTGGGACAGCCTCTTTAAAATACATTATGGGGGCCACCGCAGTTAGCACGTGCGTGTTTGTGCAGAGCAGTTTGATCTGTTATGACCAGGTTAGGCACATATGGGGCATTTGTCAGTGGAACAGCAGTGTTAGGCAGGATGTCCAAAGCACCAACAGTTGGTTGGTCAAACAGGGAGGGATTGTCCACCAATGTAGATACGATAGGGAAGGTCATCTGTACGGAAAGTAATTTTGGCAGTACGGGGTCTCATCCCAACCTCTACCAATGTTGGTTGGTTTCTTTTGATAACCTCTACGAAGAATAGAGTAGCAATGTACTGACCAATCTTTGGTATCAACTAGGCAGTTTGATGGGAAGATAGAGACAGTTCCGGTACAAGTATTATAGAGTCGGACGAGTTTCTGCAAGAATAGGGTTGCCAGAGAGATCAGTTAGATTTGATAATGCTATAGCTTCAGTTTCAGATGTGACTGTTACAAGATAGGAACAATTGTGTTGGGTATGGAAAGGGACTCTGCCCACTTGTTTTTGGAAGCATTGTTGAAAGAGAAGAGTGTTGCTCGAGTAAGCTGTAGAAGGGATCATGAAAAATCAGTCCCATTTAGCTGGGACGGTCAGGGACGTGTGGAAGAGGGAGTATTGTTGAGGGGGGTAGTATTACGGAGAGATGGAGAATAAGGTTGTAGGGTAGTAATAAGGGAGGATGGGGTGTGTGATGAAGGTTGTGGGGGTAGAGGTGATGAAGTTGAGGAGGTTGGGAGAGTAGGAATGTCTTCTGGAGAAGAAGTCTCTGTTGGGTGGGTAATGCACTAGTAGTTATTGAGGAGTGGGTAGTAGTTTCAGTGTTCAGAGTCATGGTCAAAGGAGAGTCTGGGGTCGGGGAGCCAATAGAGTCTGATTTGGTGAGGCTATTTGATGAAGGGGCAAGCCTCATTGCCCTTAATAAGGTATTACATCTTCATTACTGGCCATGGGAAGCCTTGACTATATTGGGGAAATAAACAGTCCACCCCTCAGGGTCTCCTTGAGGGCTGGACAACTAAATCGGGAATACCGTGCCCATGATTCCCGCGGGTTGTTTAGGACTGGCACAAAGTCATCCTTTCATCCTTTCAACACGATTTTTATACCTTAGTAAATAGATAGTCGAAGGGATTGGAGAAAAGGAGGAAACGAAAGAGTAGGAGGGAGAAAAGACCATGCAAAATTAGTTGAGTTGAGGGCTGAGGCCCAAGGCAAGGGAGATTCCTGCATTGGGTCTCAGTCTCCATCTCCTAAGCCTCCCATGACAATAATAGGCAAGTCTCTCCTCCTCTCTCACATTTGCTGTGGAGGACAAAAAAAAAAAAAAAAACTCCATTTACTTGCTTTCTATGTAATTATTAGACTCCAGCTACATCTGAAGATTTCAGAAACCTAAAAATGTTCTCAAATGCTGCATTAATAATACCAGGTACGTCAAGCTTATGCCTACTGTAAATTCTTTAGACTGGCAAATGACAATACAAACTGTTAACCAAACATGAATTTAGTTTACACTCATACGGTAAAAAATTTAACTTTTTGTATGTTTATAAATGTTATTGATATATCACAATACAAAGTACCTTGGCTGTTGATACGGCATACATTTTAGATATATCACAAACACAATAGGACACTTTACATCAAAAGTATACCCAAGAATCAATGCACTCTACACATAAGAATGCAGTATAATAGCTTCCTTTCTTCTTTTGTACAGTGTTAACAGTAAAAATGACAAAGATATTGAGAGGAAATGTAACATGACTTTGGTAACAATGGATGGAAATTGTACCTATCTAAGAGCTAAACTGGAACTTGATTGTTTCATTAGTGGTATATTTACAAAATGTACATGTTGAGGTATTTCTTTGATACTCTGAAAGGACTAACCCAACAGATTACATGGAGGGGAAGGGAAGTAATGTAAAGACAAAAGGGAGCTTACTTAGTCTTTGGTTTGCAGATGACAATGAAACCTAAAAGTAACAATTCACAGCATCAACAATTTGCTATGGTTAGCACATCATCAATACTACCATCTGTACATAGAAAACCACAAATTTACACCATCTGATTTTAAGTACTTCTCTTGCTTACTTTTATCATACTATCCACACTGCAGTGGTTTATCATGAGCGGTAGAACTGATAGTACACATAGATTAGGGGAAATTTCAGAGACAAAAAATGATATAACAAAATTACCAAGCTTCGATTTCATGTACCTTGGAAAAATTAAAAAGTAAATAATAAATAAATATACATGAAATTATGTATTGAAAAAATGAACTGCATTTTCATACTATATATGGTAGCTCTTTAGAATAAAATCAATATACAAAGATGAAATATAAGGAGAGTGTTTTCCAAGCTTTTGCCACTATCATATAAACTCCATTGATGGTACAACCAGGGGAGTTTGAAAACCTTTCAATAGGTTTCAGATATACTAACATGGACATTTGTTTAATGTTAGAGTAGTTATGTACCATTATACAGAAATAAGAAAATGAGCTGTGCATTCAACAGCCTAAGTCAAAGGTAACTGTAAATAAACCTGTAAACTTGACTAAGAATACATTGTAATTAAGCAACGACTCTACAACCTTTGTGCTCAAATTTGTGAAGGCTTGTTGCACTTTATCTCCTCCATACAATCTCCCTGTGGCTATGTTTTTGTTTATATATATAAAATCTTGATACCGATGAAACTTTAATGACATCATAATTTTTTTTTTTCAAAAGTATATTTACTCTACATATCTTTTATAAAGACTGGGTAGACTCATACTGCTATTCAAAAGAATCTTACAGACTGAACTAAAATGAATATATCTACACTTAAAAAAGGAAACACTAGAAAAATAATAAGATGTAACTGTCAAATAGTTATTGTCACAGAAGGCTAACTTTTAGTGGTGAATGAAAAGTGAAAAGAATACAATTTTTTAAAGATAACCTAAAGCCATTCAATTGGCTGTTTTTAAGCCCACCCATGTATATAAATTAGGAACATCTGTTTTAAATAAAGTTATAACATACAATGTTAATAACAGTCTTTACCTTTTATAACCGAGCATTTGCCACCAAATAGAAAAATCTAGTGGCTAACTGTACCTAGACCAAACTAAAAATATTTGCAGAATAAACCCATTACAGGGATTTGATCCTTCCAGAATATCTTTAATTTTGCATATCACAATTTTGAGATTTAGATATCATTTTTTATATAACATTTGAATCGTTGCATCCAAGTTTTATATGGTCCTAGTGTCTTGGAATATTCCAAGATGGCAAGTCAATGGAACATAGATATATATATTGTATATACTTTTTACACTATATCACATCATACATGACTTCTTTTATGAATACACAATTACAAATCAATTAACCCTAACTTTTTAGAAAGAGAAGGAAGTGAATGAACAGACAAACACACAGGCTCCTCCCCAATAGATGGAGAGTAAGGTGGTGGTGGTACTGAACAATGTGTTAGTTGTGGTGAGGCAGTATACAAGGATCCTGTTGAAGACCAAACTCTTATTCCTGAGTCTGTGTCACTTTCAATTTTCGCTTTGGAACTGTATCTTGGTGGATCTTGCGAGTGTCTCTTCTTTTTTTTATAGCCTTCGGTCTTGAGATCTTCAAGAGGTATATCAGTGAATCCATCATTTTCTAAACCTAAGTCAAGATCCTCTGATTTTTCTGACTTGAAAATAATGTTTTTTTGGTCGTTACCCAACATTACAGGTGCCCTAGGTCTTTGGAACTCCAAAACATACTGCGGGTCTCTAATACTTTCATCTGGGAGCAGTGCAGGATTCATTGGCTTTGTGAAGAATGCTCTTGGTTTTACAGCTTCATGACTTAGATATATTTTACTTCTACTCCTATGTCTACGACATAACCATAATGTAAATGTCACGAGACCTGCAAGCAAAACAACACTGCAACTTACTGAAAGAGCAATAACTACTGAAGTACTAAAGTAAACTTCAGTATTATTCTGTACACTTGGTCCTGGTAATTCATACAATAAATCTGTTGTATTCTTAATATTATCATTTGAATAATTTGACTTCTCTTGTAATGGAAAGCTCTCCAGTCTGAAAGTAAGATTATGATATCCATCAGCTTCTCTAAGTATGCTATCAGATTTATTAATTTGAGTCTCTGTTCCTTTAACTTCACTTTTTGGCACACTTGTGTAATTCTGATTGGATATATCTTTGAAGTTACTTATATTTTCATTCTTCAAATTGATGTGTGTCTTATGTCTTGGAGCATAAATGTCCTTGTCTGTAGTTATTTTGCTATCATCTCCATGCCTAGTTGTAACTTTAGGTTGATCCTGCATCATAAGGGTGCCTTCTGAATCTTTTAGTGGCAAGTTGTCTCCTAATACCTCTGAGAGTGTGTGACTAGGTAGTATAGAATCTTCATCTGCCTTTTCAGGATATTTCAAATGTGTTCCTTCATCTGAAGACTTGCTATTTGTTGAATTAGACTGCCTCTGAGTGAGAACATTCCTGCCATTAGGATCCACCCAAGTGGTTACTGTTGCACTTCTAGTTGCTGTCGAGTATGAAGAGCCTTCATAGCTTGTTGCTTTGGCAATCTGACTAGGGTCAAATGTAGTATCATGGGCATCTACCTGCAGCCCTTTTCTTGTTGTTACAATTTTGAAGTCAAATTTTGAAGGGTTAATTAGGGGAACATCAGTTACCTCGCCCATGCTTGTAGTTGGGGAAGCTTCAAGAAGTATATCCTTACTTACTGCACCATCCACCATCCACTCATTACTGGGAATGTCCGTCTTTGGAATGTCTAATAATATGGTGGTAGATGGTACTGGGGTCTCAGTGACAGTAAATATATCAGTATTGGTATTACTAGTATGATCACCATCACTTGAATCAGTTACAGTATTACTTTCATAAACCTCTGTATCCTCAAGGATAAGATAAGTTCTATCAGTTACTGTTTCAAATTCAACAGCAGTTACAGTAGTTAGTCTTTCTGAATCATCACTGAAATCATCAGTTACTATTTCATTAATGTCTGACAAGGCAGCCTTTGTGAAATCTATGCTGATTGGTGTACTAGTTTCAAGCTCTGTATATTCTGTAGTTTGAAATTCCTGAATTTCTACTTCACTGAAATTCCCAGAACTTTCCCCCGTTATCTCATTACTATCTAAACTGGATAGAGAATGAACTTCCTTATATGCAGTTTGTCTTATGGTTTCTGTTAAAGCAGTAGGTAATGTGGAAACTATCTCACTGTCAAAATCTGTACCTGTACTATCTTCTGTCACTGGTACAAAGGCTTCAGTGTTGGAATCCATAATTCTTGTTTCTGTACTATTGTCCAAACTTCCATTGACTGACACTGCTTGATCTACTTGCTTGCCAAAGATGATGGGAGGAAGTCCTTCAGGCTCTGGATTGTGTGGTTGCTGGCTGCCATTTGTTGTTCCTGCTGCCATTTCAGTATCTTGGTCAGCTTCTGCTTCATTCACACTCTCTTGGAGAGCTAAGAGTACTGGTGGTGTCCTCATCTGAAAATAATGATTAATATAAGCTGTGCACATTAGAGATGATCAATGTCTCTACAACAGGAAAATATACATAAGGAATAAAATCTGATATAATGAAATATGCAAACCCAGAATTTTTCATAAAAACTAAAATGCCTTCAAAATATTACAATTAAGTGTTTCCTAGCCTTTTTCAACACGTAAAGTCAAACTTATGTATTCAAAAAAGAAGAAAGAAAAATATATATTATTATATATAAATTAAGAACTATTACCGCAATGGTTGAAGTTCATAACACAACCTACAATGTGACCATCTGGAAACAGCAAATCAAATAACAAATATGAACAGTGGAACAGAAAATGAGAAAATAACATCATTGCAAAGGGGAGACATGAGCCTTGTCACTGCACACAAGTGTTTGCAAGTGCCTAGCAAACAAGCCATGCACCTGTCATAGTGGACAATCAAGTAAGCCTAATGTCCATATTTAGGGCAATGTAATGGCAGTGAAACATCTAGATCCAATGGGTAAAACATAAAGATATGAAAGGCATCACTGAATCCAAACTGGACTCATCTATAGAAAATGTAACAATAGGACTAAGAGACAATAATATTTGGAGAAAAGACAAGGTAAATAGACACAAGGGTGGGGGTGGGGGCAGCAATATTGGAAAGGAATCATTATAAAGCAGATCAAGATTAAACAAAACCCCATTGTGTAACTAAAGGCAACTGAGGTAGAGACAATCTGGTAAACTATATATTATATATAATATATATATATAATATATATATATATATATTATATATATATATATATATATATATATATATATATATATATATATATATATATATATAT